ATTGAGATATATTTATATTTATTAAAGATAATTAAATCTCATATTTATTAAAAATAATTTTTTTTTACATAAAAAGTTCTGACAAATTTTAACTATTAAAAGTGAAAAAAATAAATTAATAAAATTTTATATAAATGTGACATATAAAATTTTTATATAAATGAATCCCTTTTAATATATATATATATATTGATGATTCAGGTAGCTTCTTGTTTGGGGGTACGGATTCGATTCTTCACTCAAGTTCTATCAATCTAGAAGCTTATATAGTCTGATTTGTTTTGAGGGAGCCCAAATGCAGACAAAGTGATAATGTGTTTTTCTTGTATAATTATCATTCCAATTCTTTTAACTAATCAGCTACAAACCTAATGCCTTGTCCACGTGAACATTAATAACATCCACAAAAGAAAGTCCAAAATAAGCCCAATTATGCCATGTATTATTGTGGTGGTGATTAAGAAGTCCTTTTCTGCGATCAAGAATATGCATGATTTTGTGGCATGGTGGGATCTTCATCTCATATCCAATTCGGCAGCAACATAGAGTGGCCTCTATATCAACATCCAAAACAGGGCATGCCAAGCACTTCTATCAGTAAAGTGGACTGTGGTACATTTTTTGATGGCCGTGTCTTACTCCACTGCATAAGATAAAGGAAAAAATGCATGTGTCCTCCTCATTACTGAATATTATAATTTTGTTATTACCTCTCTCTCTCTCTCTTTCTCTCTCTCAATTAAAGAAATTCTGGAGTAGGTAACCTAAACCCCTTCACAATTTTATTATTTAATTTAGAGTTAGGTGTGGTTATAATTTAATTCTAGAAACTAAGGCATAAGAGAACTGATTAATTTTTTTTTATATGATTAAGTGGTATTATGGGTTAACTTTCATACATCATATTAAATTCACTTTTTGATTAAGGGCATGTCACCTATACCTATGACTAAAAAATTTACAAAAAAAATCATATTATTTTTTACTTTCATAAAAAATTGAACATTACTCCGCAAAGCGAAGTGTGAACTCTATCATCAACTAATCTCTCGTGGTATCTATTACCTTTTGGGTAGAAAACAAACTAAATAAAATTAGTTTTTTTTAAAAAAAAATTTTTAAGATATTGAATTATTATAACCTAAGTAGCTTTTTTAAGTATATCAAAAGTTTATTTTTAATAGACAATAGTCCAGTTTTCCTATATATAATGTGAATTACTATATATTAAATGGACCTTATTGTAGAAATTTGAATATGATTTTAACACTGCGCCCGACACAATTTTGAAGTCAACTAGTGGTCCTGGTCCAATACTAGTCCAGTCCAGACTCCAGATCCAGAGTCGAGAGAGGTAAAGCCGTAAAGGGCCAGCATTGGCCGTCGAAGCCCAGCAAATCTGCTGAACAAATTTAAGCTGATTTCATTTTCACTATGTTTGGAAAAAGTTAGTAAAGAAAAGTGAAGGAAATGGAAGGGAAGTAGAGAGAGGGGAAGGGGAGGAGAGTAAAGAATTAATATTAATTTTGTTTGGATAGATTAAAAAAGAGGAAGGAAAGGAAGGGAGAGATTATGTTTTTTTA